GATCTCTTTTGTAAATTCAGACATAAGTCTGAGTAAATAATTAGAAGTGGGATATGGACAGCAGGGCAGAAAGAAAGAGTGCTCAGGTTCCTGTGCTGCTTCTCATTTGCATTTCTTGCAAGACCTCTTCAAGGTAATTTGGTTCAAATAGAGATTTATTCCTAAATCCGTTAATCTGAATTGATATATGACATGACATGACAATAAGATATGACAACCAGTGACTTCTGGGTTGGCCTATGGGGGTTATTGGAATCAAAACCTGCCTGTTCATTGGACAATGTGGGTAGTGTTAAGAACCAGTCAGGTACTTACTGATCAGAGTGCTCTCTCTAGGAGTACCATGGTTAAGTCCTACCACCTGTCCTGCCAATGTCATTCAAAGGTGTTGGTTTCTCTCCAGCATCAAGCTTGATGCATGTAGCTAAATATGGATTGACTTTCACATGAGGCATGTCCCTGCATTATGGCAGTTAACAAGGCATTTTCCCCTGTGTCCTTTCTAAATAAGATGCAGTCCATAACAGTAAGTTGAAAGTCATGGGAAATAATGGACATACTAGAACAAGCAATCAGGACTCCTATATTTGTGATGGATTTCTTGGCATCCATTCTCTACAGTAGAATTTCCAATATTAGTCACTGAAAAAGCATTTCCTAGTTTTTTTTTTTTTTTTTTTTTTTTGGGAGAGGGAAAAATAACAATTCTTCTAAAAGGTCCTTTTCTCTGCATTAGAGATCCCAAGTGACCTTCATGAAGTCATAGGTAACACTAAATGCTCATTCACCAAAAATGAAACCTAGTTTGTTGATTTGATTTTTATAAAAGGGAAGAGACAATATATTCTCCAGTGACCCACCTCCTCCAGCCCTTGTATTATTGGCTATGGCTATTTTGAAACTCTGATTCCTATCTTGCTGCTCAAGTGCTGGAAATACTGAAGTAAGCACCACACTCTCTATGGACTTTCAGTTGAAAAGGGTAAAAACAACATAAGAGAATATAAAATATTAAATCGTGTATACACAAATCAAAAGAACAGCAGTAACACAATAAAACATGTTTTTATGGTCTCTCTGCACACATCCCATGCCAAAGATAAGGCATAAGCATCCATTTCCCCATTCCACAGAAAAAGGGGAAGCAAAAAATCATTCTTCCTTTTGTTTCAGAGAAAATCTGAGAAAGTGCTGCTATTAAAAGAAAATTAGGAAAGAAAGGTTCCTGAATAAGAGGATCCCTCCCACCCACCCACACACACACAATCAGTCTGAAAGTGGTTGTTTTTCTGCCCCAGGATTAATGACATGGATTATAGAAGTTGCCATTTCCAAAATTTCATGAAGGCAGGGCATAAGTCTCCCATCCCATTTTCATTTCAGTAGCCTCCAATGAGAAGATGTTTATCAAAGGAAGGCTTTATAATTGATGCAATTTCTTTTCATATAACTTCTTTTCTGAAAGAAGTGTCTAAAAGGATTGAAATAATACGCAGAATGTACAATAACTCACAGCAAGCTTCTTTTGGTGCATTGCTAAAAGAGTTACATCAAAACCTATTCCCAATCATTTCCAAATAAACCTGGAAAAAAGTCATGGCTACATTAATATATCAAAGCATCTCGCCAAAACAGCATTCTTGGACTTCAGGCATTTTGTAAGGTCTTAAAAACATGATTGGGTCACTGAGTTGATCTGGATGGTAGCAAAGCCTATGCAATGGCTATTGGTTATTCTGTTGTTCAAAATTTATTGTGACTTTTCTCTTGGTAAGTATTGGGGCTGTTTGAATCAAGTCCTACTCTCCATTAGACATGAGACATTTTTCCTAATGTATTGTTGAAAGGTGTCAAAATGCCTTTCTTTCGAGGATTTGGTTTTCCCACTGGGAGAGCTCCGGCGCAAGGATATGGACAACTGCTTGAAAGCTGGATCTTTTTTCAGGAAGGCAGGGGACAGCGAGAAGTCTGCGTTCCTGGGCTAGCTAGCTTCTTATGGTAAGTCCCTGGTTTTTTATACCCTTTTCTCCCTTTGTAAGTTGATTTTGTGTGAATGTTTGTATTTGTGCTTAATGTTTCAAATCCTGTTTGAGTTTGTCTTTATTCCCGTCGGAGGGTAAACTCCGCGGGGTGCGGAAGGCAAACTCTGTGGGGTGGCCAGATTGTATTATTGGTTTTCTGTAATCTCTTTTAGCTTTAAGATAGTTTTTCATATTTGTTCTGTGGCAATCTCCTGTCTGTCCCTTTTGTAATTTATATTTTGTGTCTTTTGTCTGTTTGTTTTGCTTATTTGGTATGTCCTGTGTTTGTAAGGGTTTTCTGAATTATGTTTTGTTTCCTTTTTTTATTTGTCTAGTTTTCTTAATTACTTAGGCTTTTGTCTATAGGGATTCTTTAATACCTTTTTTATTTGATTCCTTTTTCTATGTAAGTTTGTTTGATGGCTGACCTGATGTTCCCCCTTTTTCTGTTTTTGTGAGACTACTGTCTTCGTGAAGTTCCCTTTCCACAGTATTACAATTAAAAAAGGTGTCAAGTTTATCACTTCAGTATATTTTTTCTTGTAAACATCTCCCTTTTTCCCCAGCTGAGAAAGCAAAACTATTCAGAAAAAGTCCTCTTCCCTGTTTTTGTTCCTTGTTTCTTTAACAATACATTGCAATGAAATGTAGTTCTTAGTTTCATTTTGTAACATGTGACTTTAGCAAGTTCTGTAACTGTCAACGCCAAAAATTTTAAAGGAATCTTCTTGATTTTTATATCCAGTTTGAAAACCAACTTAACATGAAATCATCAAAACTAATTAATATGGAAAACTTAAGTGTTTAGTACTGAAAACACACAGCACCTATAGTATGAGAGCTATATATTGGACCATCTCACACAAACCTATTTTCTAGCACCTTTCTAGTGAGAAAGGTGGCACTGGAAGTGATGATGGGGGAAATATATAAAACCTATGTTATACTACAACTTTAAAATATACTTAGATGTTTAGTAGCATTTTGTATCAGACAGCAATGCAGAGGAACAAATAGCACATACTAGCCTCCCCTCCCTCTTCCTCATTTAGCAGGCAATTAATCGCAGATAGTCTTCACACAATGGCATACCATGAAAAATCAGGAACCTCAATCAGGGTCCACATGGAAAACAGCCATAGATAAGAAAAAACTGGTAGAAATACCTTATAAGTTATTGCATCTTCAAATACTAAAGGTTGTGGCTGTATTTCATAACAATGAAGAGATAGAATAGAATAGTGTAGGAAGTTAGCACCCACCCCTCTCCTAGAAAAATGAAATATCCTGGGAAATATTTAAAAGGCAGAATATTTCCCCTAAAAAGAGTAAAGTAGAAACTCAGAGAAGCAGAAACTCAGAGAAGCAGAAACTCAGCCCGCCCCACCTTTGCTAATGTGGCATTAAGGCCTAGGCCAAAGTATTCTACATAATAAAGGGTCTACCCATCTACCACCTGGCCTGGGAAGATTGTATCAGCCACCTCACTGAGGTGAAGCCATGTGGTCCAGACAAAGCCTACAAAGTTAGCTAAGACCCCTGCCCCAGGAGTCTGACAGCCAATGGGATACATTTCTTACACAGGAACAGGAAACACTAGGGTGGGGCCCAACAGAGGTTATATAAGAGTCTCTCAGCATCTTGGCCTTCCCTTCTTGACCTTCTCACCTTGAAATATGTGATCATCCTTTCTTTTTCACTTTGGAGCTCCAAGCCATGTGGTCCTTCTGTCCACCATTAAACCATCTTTCCAAATAGTCTCCATGTTTCCAGTGTCTTTTTCCCCACTTGGAACTGAACCCAGAAGGATATTTCTTTCAACAATAGAATAACAGAGTTGTTGGAAGGGAACTTGGAGATCTTCTAGTCCAACCCCACTGCTTAGGCAGGAAACCCTACACCACTTTAGACAAATGGTTAACCAATCTTTTCTTAAAAACTTCCAGTGTTGGAGCATTTACAACTTCTGGAGGCAAGTTGTTCCACTGATTAATTGTTCTGTCGGGAAATTTCTCCTTAGTTCTAAGTTGCTTCTCTCCTTGTTTAGTTTCCACCCATTGCTTCTTGTCCTGCCCTCAGGTGTTTTGGAGAATAGCTTGACTCCCTCTTCTTTGTGGCAGCCCCTGAGATATTGGAACACTGCTATCGTGTCACCCCTAGTCCTTTTCATCAGACTAGACATACCATGTTCCAGCAACCATTCTTTATATGTTTTAGCCTCCTAATCATTTTTGATGCTCTTCTCTGTGCTTTTTCTAGAGTCTCAACATCTTTTTTACATTGTGGCGACCAAAACTGGATGCAGTATTTCAAGTGTGGCCTTACCAAGGCATTATAAAATGTTATTAACACTTCATGTGATCTTGATTCTATCCAGAGGTTTTATTCAGCAGGTTCTGACCAGTTCTGGGGAACCAGCAACAGAAATTTTGAGTAGTTCGGAGAACTGGCAAATACCACCCGACTGGAGATTTTACAGTATCCTTCCCCTGCCACACCCACCAAATCACACCCACAGAACCGGTAGTGAAAAAAATTTGAATCCCACAACTGATTCCATCCCTCTATTTATGCAGCTTAGAACTGTGTTGGCTTTTTTGGCAGCTGCAGCACACTAACATCTCGTGAAACCTATACATTATGCCCAAAAATGTCAACTAAGCTTAAGCCCATCAGCACTCTATTACCTACATTTCTATATCCCATCAAAATGCTCAAAAGAGGATGTAGTAGGTCAGCATGTGCCAACTTCATTGGGCCATAACAGCCAAACATGAGCTCATAATTTTGTAATAACCAAATATCCCATGGCTGCTTGTTTTTTGCCAAATTTCAGCAGGTAATAGAAAGCAAATAAGCAAAGTATTAATGCAGTTTGTCTCTACCTGTGGCAGATGGATGACAAATAAACAGCCCGGGCCATTGGGCTTAGTGTCAGGAGAAAGGAGAGCTGGGTACAATCTGAAATTGGCAGCTTTAATAGGGAAGGAAGCTAAACAAGGTACAATGTTTCCACTTCAAGATTGTAAAACAGATTTTCTTGTCTCATACTACATACATTAATTTGATTTCATTAATATAAACAAAAGCTTGAATCTATATACATCTATTACAAGATCTGTTCACTAAATATGCTGCTCCAAATAGAGTGCCTTCTTCGACATGAGTCTGCTAACATGACTCTTCAACTGCACTGATAAATATTTTCTGGCGCATGGACATCAGCGCTGACAACATGCTGAATCCCTCGAGCTGCTGAATTTGTAAATGCCACCTGACTGTAAAAATCAAAAGTACAAATCAGATTAGAATTTAACTGCCATGGTGAATTATGTCATAGACTTGCCCAGATGCTATAGGAACTCCAGCTGGGCATGAATGCAATATTACATTATGATTATTAGCCAATCATAACCTTACTTTCCTCTTTGAAGATATTTCAATTGCGGACAATCATGTCTTGCAATTTTCAGTTTTAATTATACATCCAGTAGAATAATCACCTTTCACATCCTGCAATTTCCTTCATTCAGCTTACTTATACTGAGTGTATTTGTTCTGCTTCATTGTCAAACCTCTATGATTCAACTTAACAATACAGTTAATTTGGTTACAGTGTTGCAAGAGGAAGAGAAGCTATTTTGATCCACTTTCTGCATTAAATGCTCTGCCCTAAACACCATTCAATATAATGTGTCACTCATTTTCATTTTTTAAATTGTTAATAAATTCACTTCCCCATGCATCTTAATGATGCTATAACAGCATCCTAGCAATAAGCTTGCCACATCCCTGGTTGTTGTTGTTGTTGTTGTTGTTGTTGTTGTTGTTTCAGAAAAAGATTTGAAAATGGCATAGGAAAGCCTTCACAGCAGATGCTACAAAATTCAGAACAAAATTAATCTCCATTTTGGGTCATATTCTGCATTCTTGTATGGTATGGGAGCAACTCTGTAGCAGACAAAAAAGCTCTACAGAGAATCATTAAAGCTGCCCAGAATATCATTGGGCTCCAGTACCAGCCCTGGATGACATCTTTGCATCTCACTGTTTGAGGAAGTTGCACAACATTCTCAGAGACTCTTCCCATCCTGCTTACAATCTTTATGAACTGTTTATGAACCTTCTGGCAGAAGATACAGAACAATTGAAACTCGGGCCACACATTTTCTGAATAGTTTTTATCCCAGAGCTATAATTGCACTTAACAATGAACTTAAATACCACCATCAGTGAGCCTGTTGAACAGTATTACTTGGTCTGTTGTGTAGATGCTTGTGTGATTTTAGGAGGCAGGGAATTTTAGCGGGTGGGGAGGTGTTTGGGGATTGTCATGCGTGTGTGCATGTTGAGTCTGGTCTCTGGGTGTTATGTGAATTTCGTTGTATGTATACTGTGTAAAGAATGAAGAATTCAATTCAATTCAATTCATATACGATTTCTGAAAAACCTGGTTGATTAGAAATGAATTGCTAAGGGTGGGTGGGTGGGTGGGTGAATGTGCATAGAATTTATATAACTCACTCAAAGTGTCTCAAGCAAAAAACAAAACAAAACCAGGAACTAAACTTTTTTAGTTCAACTTTTCTTCCTCCTTTCTTACTAATTTTAGCATCTAGTGTTCTCCTTGGAATATTCTTCTCAATATATATATATATATGGTATTCAGCTTTGTTCGGGTATTTTCCCACGTCATTATAGTTGTGCTTTTAAAGTTGTAGCAATGTTTCAGCAGAATCTCATCTGCCATCATAAGGCTTCTGTATAGTGTTTGTCTGTGAGTCAGACTTTCGCAGCCATTTCTGTTTTAAATTTGGGGCTAGCCTACTGCTGTGCCAGAATGGTTTTTTCTTCATCCTGATTGGTTGGGAGTCTTGGTCTGTGTTTATTGGTCTTGGAGTTTGCAGTGTTCTGCTTGATTGGTGTGTCTAATATCTTCTGTCTGTTTTGTAGCTTTTTTTGTCTTGATTGGCTGGCAACATTGTGTTTCCTGTATTAGAGGCTTTTAGTGCAGCTTCGCTCCGAGTAAATGGACGGCTATCATTTATTAGGAAGCTAGGTTTCATCTGGGTGCCTGGTTGGGGTGTGTTTGAGCTGGAGGTATCAGGGGGAGTCTGTTTGTGCCCAGGTGTTTGCCTGGCTAGTGGTGTGGAGATTTTTTTGTTTGAGAGTGCAGGCTTCCAGATAATTGACAGTCTGGTGGAGTCAACTCTTCTATTCATGTTTTCAGGTCTTTTTTCAATCTCTAAGGCTTCTCTGATAATTCTGTAGCTGGGGGGCAAACACCTGGGCACAAACACATACAATATACAATATACACATACAATATACAATATATACATACAATACAAAAGACATGTTTACTTATTTCTTTCTTAAGAAATGCCAAGAAAATGACCAAGTGTCTACTGCAATTGTTTTGTTTAAACAAAGTTTTTTTTTTTTCCTTTTGGCAACAAAACTAAATTTAATATTCAAAATCTCTTAAATTTCAAATTTGTTGGATTTTTTTTTTTAAGTTGTGTACTTGTATCTATTTCGTCACATGAAGCACTTCCTGTGTGTATGAGCGCTGAGTTAGAAGTCTGAAATACATGGAACTATTTCTGTGTATCCAATAAGTTTGAAGTGACCACTTTCTATGGTTAGGATAAGTTGGAGTCAGCCTTTTTGAAAGTCAATTCATGAACTGTTAATATCATATTCATGTATTGTGTTTCCTTGTAGCAGTTATACAATAAGTGAAGCCTTTATTCTTCCTATCATTCAAATAGAAATATATTTAATAGTAATTACCTTGTAGAATTATTTGTCTTCTGCTTCTTCTGTAGATACCCTGCAAGATAATCAGAGCAACAAAAAATCTTTACTAGAAAGAAGATGAAAACAATTTGCTCAATTATTTTAAGAATGAGAAACCCCAATGTATGTCTTTTCATTATCTACTTTAAGAAAGTTGTATAGTTTATTCACTCACTAGTCTTTTTTCTGGGTTTGATACAGTAGTCAAAGGAGATAAGTTGAAATCACTACATACACAAAATCAAAATTTCAAAAATCAAAATCAAATCTACTGATATTGCTTGTTATAAGAAGGAAAGTTATCAAATCCTACCAGACAATAATTCTTCTCAACCTTTCCTGCTTTACAGTTCCCACTGTTTTTTTTAAAGAATTTTTTATTTTTGGACAAACATACATAAACAAAACATAAAACCATCTTCCAATTACGTACATACAGTGTGTCAGTTGGTTACAAATTTTTTGTGCATCTTCTCCATAGTCCTTGCTTACAATTGTTTGTATAGATTCTCATATTATCAATCAAATATATATGTATACATTATTATCATTGTTAATCATTTATTTGACTAAATTATTATTCCTTCATGTTATGCGAGATGTTCAAAATTTTAAATTGATTTATAATATAACAATTCATATTATCATACTAAATCCATCCAATAATAAAACATCTTTATATTATATTCTGTATAATTCTATTCTCCTTATATTGTAAAATTCTACATATTTCATTACCATATTTTGTTTTCTAACCATTGATAAAATAAATCCCATATCTTATAAAATTGTTTATCTTCTTGTTCTCTAATTTCAAATGTCAATTTACTCATTTCAGCACATTCCACTATTTTCTTAATAACTTCCTCCTGCATTTTTCCAATTTTTAGCAAATACAATCCTAGCCGTTGTTAATACATTTACAATCAAATATTTCAATTCCCTACTGTCAGTTCCCACTGTTTTAAAAATCACTTTTGCCCTCTTGCTTGCTTCACTTAGTGATAATATTCATGTTCTAGCGAGGTCTGGCACAGTAAAATATCTAACTAAGCCAGAAGAAAGTTTGGTGGAGGTCCTTAGAGGTCCTGACATCTGACTGGGGTCAGGAGTCCCACAGAATTTTGGAAAGTAGAAAGCTTTAACTTTTGCTTATTATATCATCTGGACTCGAACACATAGAGAATCAAAATCACGTGAAGTATTAGTACTGCTTTATAAAACCTTAGTAAGACCACACCTGGAATACTGCATCCAGGTTTGGTCACCACATTACAAAAAAGATGTTGAGACTATGGGAAAAGTGTAGAGAAGAGCAACAAAGATGATTAAAGACCTGGAGACTAAAACTTATAAAGAATGGTTGCAGGAATTGGGTATGGCTAGTCGAGAGAAAATAAAGACTAGGTGGGAGAGACATGATAGCAGTATTCCAGTATTTGAGAAGTTGCCACAAAGAAGAGGGGGTCAACTTATTTTCCAAAGCACAAGAAGGTAAGAGAAGGAACAATGGATGGAAACTAATCAAGGAAAGAAGCAACCTGGAATTGAGGAAAAGCATCCTAACAGTGAAAAAAAATTAAGGAGTGGAACAGTTTGCCTTCTGAAGTTGTGTGTGTTTCATCACTGGTGGTTTTTAAGAAGAGCCTGGACAACCACTTGTCTGAAATGGTATAGGGTCTCCTGCTTGAGCAGGGGATTGGACTAGAAGACCTCCAAGGTCCCTTTGACCTTTATTCTATTCTAACATTTTACATTAACAGAGTAATCAAGGAGAAAGATCCCAATGATCATTGCAGAAAATATAGCAGGTTTGTTTCAATATTCACTCACTAAAGTAAATACATTGGAAGCAGAAGGTAAACTACACAAGGAATTCTCCTTGTGCTACACAAGGAATTCTCTCTATCCCGAGTCTCCCTACTAGTGCTTAATATAACATTTTAATGTAGTGGTTAGGCAACATTTCTTCTAAGTATTTCTTTTACCATTTTCATTCAGTTTGATGGAACAGAAGTGATTATGATTTTTTTTCAACATATTGCAATGGAGTTGGACTCGACAAATGTGCTACCATTACCATTACCAGGGGAAAAATAGTGAAAACTGAAGGAATCAAGATATCTTATGGAAATAACATCAAGAGTCTGGATGAAGAAAATCACTACAAATACCTGGGCATTCTTCCAACTGAGAACAACACACTAAAATCAAGAAAAGGGTTAGAAGTGAATAATACATCATGAAGAGTGAAGAAGATCTTAAAGTTCAAACTGAGCATAGGAAATACCATCTAGGCAATTAACACCTGGGCAATTCCAGTCATTAGATACACAGCTGGAATAGTGGAGTAGACTCAAGCAGAACTATAAACCCTGGATAGGAAGATCAGAAAAATAATGACAATGAATCATGCCCTTCATCCACACAGACTCTACTTATCAAGGAAAATAGGTAGGTATGGAATGTTGCAAATATACCAGATGGTTGAAAAAGAGAAAAGAAACAATGGAATAATATCTAAAGGACAATAAAGAAAATGCAGCAAAGCTACTATACCATGAAGGCTTACTGAATAACAGAGAGACCAAAGTCTATAAGAAAGACTAAATAAAGTATAGCAAAGAGACATGGCAAGGCAAAGTATTAAATGGCCCAGCACCAAAAAAAAAAACCCTCTTAATAAAAGTCACAGTACTTACACTTTATAATTAGCAGGATTATAATGACGAATAGAATTACACATGTTCCAATTCCAAAGTATAGGCCTATCCGATAAGATGAATTCTTCACTTGCTTCTTTACCATTATAGACATATATGAAATATTCTGGAAAAGCAAATAAACAAAAAATATCACAGCAGAACCACACTGAGCTAAAGAGTTTGTTTAATGAAAGCTACCCAGAGTCAACTGGAGCCAGCAAGCTCTAAAATATATTAATTATTAACATTATTAGCATTCATCCCATCAATTCAAGATTTTAGTACAAGAAAGCCATTCATCAGACTACTTTTTATTCATTCATTTCTAACTCCTTAGAACTGAGAGAAACTGTGTGTGTGTGTGTGTGTGTGTGTGCACGCGTGCACGCGTTTAAGAAAGATTTATTCAAACTTTAAAAGTATATAGTTATAAATTCAACATTTGACCCACAAAAGATTCAACTGGCTCTCACCCTTATGTTCTTTGGTAAAGTAGTCATAAAAAAATAACAAAATGTGCAAGTGTTCAGATAAACTCTTCTTTGGAAATGCTTTTTAAAAAGAAGAAGAAAGAAGAGGGAGGTGAAAAAAAAGCCCATGCCATGCAGTTACTAACAATCTTAAAATGAGACATGATGGGAAATTGTAACAATAGAATCTCTATCTAGCAGTAAAGTAGCTACTGTTCCATTTATAATTCTCCTTAGAACCTTGGGGATGTAAATACTAAGAGTATTTGGAAACACACACACAGTATTCCAACTGTGATTTGAACGGTCTTCATCACTGGTTGTTTATTAAATGTGTCACAGAAGGAGAGAATTGAGTACAATAATAACATTGGACTTCAATCTTTACTTTTTAAAATTGAATTTGGAGTTCTTTAAATTGTTTTTTCAAACTGTGCAATGGTAAATAGAATATTCCCAGAACTGGGAAGGTTAAAAAAAAATAGTTCCTCACTCTTGCTAAGATTGAGCATGAGTGTGCTCTTCCCGAGCCAGATCTCCACAGACCCCAGGCATTGGGTCAGGACCTCAACAGCATCCCTTAGTCCGCCTGGTATTGAATTGTACAATTGAATAACAGTGTGTTGCCGATACCTGACCTAACCCAGCATATCATGATCAAATACATCAGAAACTGCTGGGAGATCAAGGAGCACCAGGATGAACACCAACCCCATCCCAGTTCTACCACAGACCATTGATAAATGCAACATTGTTGGCTATGAAAGCAAACTGGTATGGGTCCAGATAATGTGTTTCCCTTAGGGTCCTCTGGGACTGAACCCTGACCATCCTCCCTTACCACTTTCCCCTTAAAATGGAAGGTTGGAAACTGGATGGAAATTGCCCAAGATCATTAAGTCTAAAGATAACGTCTTAAGAAGCAGATGCACCCTGGTCTCTTTCAAGGCATTGGGGATTACCCTTTTCTCAGAGAAGCAGGCCAGTTACTGCTTGGGCCCAGTCCCAGGTTATCTCCTATGCAGCCTTAACTATCCAGGGGAGACCTGGATCTAACAGATGGCCACATTTATGAAATGCAGAACTTCAGTACACTTTACTGAACTGAGTTTACTCAAGATAATCCTATAAAAACTTTTGGAAAGCAACTTGGACCCAGGTATCCCTCTCTTCATGGACTTCAATTATATTCATGCTCATCTTACCTATCATTACTTATTTTATTTACCATTCTAAGTCTTCTATATTAACTTCTCCACATATTTCACTCTTCTTAATTCTATCTTAATTAATCATCTTAATTTGAGTCATTATATTTGTATCTTTTGTCCATTCTTTATTGTCCCTTTGTCTCGTTCCTTTTTTTTTAAAAAAAAAGAAGTTTCTCCTGAAATCACTAATCAGAGTATGATGCCTTTCTATCTCCCCCCTAAATTAATCAAATAAACCTTTAAAATAGCACCCAATACCCAATCCGATTTTGCTTGGTACATTCTATCTAAATAGTACATCCAGAATAATTAAATACATAGTTAAACAATAGATCTGAATATTAAAAACAAATACTATAATAGAAATTTTATAATAACATCAATGCCATAATCTTATTAAACTCTTTAATTAAAACTCAATATTCTGAACTTCCCCTCATATTATTAAATTCTAAAACCAATCATTATTAAACATTTCACCATTTTAATCTCTTATCAACTCTTAAACCATTTAAGTTTTCTATTTCTGATACAATACTACAATATCATCTTATGTACCTTGCAAAATCTTTTGAAGAAATTATACTTTATCCTTTATCCCTAAAAAAGATTCCTTTTTTCCCATTTAATTTCAAAACTTTGTAGCTTTTCTCCACCTTTTCCCTTCCTTTCTTCTCCCAACAAACCTTTCTACCCCGCCTCTTCTTCTAGCCTCTGCCTTACTGGCTTCCCTTCTCTGTCGTGTTCCTTTTCCCTTTTGTTTACTATCATTATATTGATTTTGCACCTTATTTTTCCCTTTCTTAAGTGTTTTTTTAAATCTTAAGTCCTTAGTTTCTCTTCCTTTCCCTCTTACTTCTTTCTTGGTCGATTTCTGAAATTTATTAAAAATGGCTTCCTTTCCTTCTTCTTCTTCTGCTGTTTTCATCTGTTGTAATGTTTGTTGATAGTTAATAAGCGCCATTTCTAAAAAAAGGAAGGCTTCTTTCAAACCAGCTTTACCATTTTTTTTGCTTATTCATAATCTTTTCTCAGTTCCTCAATAGAAGGAGCCATTATAAATCTTTTCTTTTCTTTTCCCCTTTTTTCTTCTTACAACAACCAGAATATTCCAAAGAAAAAATAAAACAGTCCCAAAGTTATCAATCAGTCCAAACCAAGGCAGAGTTCTCACTTTCTCCTTCTGGGGTAGTATCAATCAGAGACAAAGAAAGTCCAAATCTGTTTCTTAAAGTCTTATTGCAATATATTTTAGTCTTCAAATCCTTAAGGCATCTCCTCCAACAATCTTAGCATACAAATATTTTTTTTTTAGTCCTCTCTCTTCCCACTCATCGCTTAAAGCCAGTTTTCACCTAAAAAAATAGGTTTCTTAATATTCACTTATTTATTCCGTAGGAAAAGAGGGTAAGCTTTCCTTTCAGCACCATCAAACTGCCGCTTTTTTCCTCTTCTAGAAGGTATCATTCAGAAAGTCATACTTTTCAGGAATTTTCAGGAATTTTCGTCCAAAAAGATCTTTTTTATGTTTTGTGTGTTGTGTGTATATGGTTTTTTTTTTGGGAGAATTAATAAAACCTTGCAGAAATATAGAATGAGAATAATGGTAACTAAGTCAGAAAGAAAAAGATGAAATAATAATAATGAAATGGAATAAGAGTAAAGAGAAGTAAAGAGAAATTGGATAAGAGGTTTTTGTATGTTTATATGGAAATGGTTTAAAATAGAATTATAGTTTATCTGACTTGTTAAATTTATAATGGAAAAAGGTTTAAACATGTAATGGATAATGATGATTTGTGTGTTTTGAAAAAATTAATAAAACTTGTTTTTTAAAAAAAAAAAGATAATCCTATAAAAACTTGCCTCGGACAGTTCAACTAGACATGTCCACACAGAGTCCAATTCCAAGCAGATCCAAGAAGTTTTATTTGCCAGATAGCAAGAATATGCCTCATAGTAACCCTGCACATAGTTCAATGACACATTCCCATCAGGAATTGGGTCATCGAAAACAGGACCACAATTTAATCAATAGTATGGGTCCTTCCTTATATTTTGATCCAATTTGCTCTTCATCTTCCTCCAAAGCCATCCCAAGGTTCTTTTCTGGCTCTTCATTTCTCAGAGCTCCTCAGGAAATTAATTCTGTATTTTCTCAATGCTATATCCATTATTTATATTCCCAGAATAAACTTAAAATTTATAGCCAATTCCTGAAAATTGATGACACAAAGGAGATAAAGCATGCTAGTTTTAGGAAGACTTAAGCATAAATAGCTACCAATTCATATGCACACACAGAGAAACAGAGAAACATACACACTTTTATATTGATACTTACATTGGGTGGAGATTCAGTAATAAATACCGATTTTGGTTCAGAAACAAAATTAGACGTACTAAAATATATAGGTGTTGTATGAAGCGATGCTGAAAAATAAGATTATTAATATAGAATAAAACAAATTTGTATTCATATAACTCTATACATACATACATACATACATACATACATACATACATACATACATACATACTTTTGGAAGACAGAATTCCATAAAATTTGTAAGGATAATTCATTCTATTTTTTCAACATCCACCATTTTCACCAGTAAGCAAATCTTATAGTGTTAAATTGATATTTATGTCTGAACATGCTTTTTGGGGTTCATGTTTGTTTTAATTGGATTGCATAACTTGAGACACATCATTTCAAATGACATACAGACCCTTACATGTGTTTATAAATATACACACACACACACATGGATACATGAATATGCACATACATACATATTTTATGTATACATAGATAGATAGATAGATAGATAGATAGATAGATAGATAGATAGATAGATAGATAGATAGATAGATACATACATACATACATGTAGGTGACACATACATACATAACAAAGTATATGCGTGTGTGAATAGAGTTGTATCTTTTATAAAGAACACAGTAGAGTTGTTTAGAAGAGTTCCATATCAAATGAAACCCAGAACCAATGTTAATAACTGTATCATAATTTATAAATAGCACATACATAATACATAACACATGTAAATATCACTTTGTATAGCAATAGCACTTAGACTTATATAATGCTTTATAGTGCTTTACAGCCCTCTCTAAGTGGTTTACAGAGTCCGCATATTGCTCCCAACAATCTGAGTCCTCAGAAGGATGGAAGGCTAACTCAACCTTCAGCTTGGTGGGATTTGAACTGCCAAATTGCAGGCAGACGGTAGTCAGCAGACATAGCCTGCAGTACTGCACTCTAACCACTGTGCCACCGAGGCTCTTAATATATAATTTTAGATGGTACTGACTAGCAGTGAGACACAGTCATTAGATTAAGTTCATAAAAATACTTCTTTTCAAACTTACAAGCATATTTTTTTTAAAAAGAAATCCCTTGTAGTAAAGGAGAACGTGACAAATTTAAATTTAAATCTTCTACTCACCTTCCTTGATCAGTAATTTGAAAAGCATTTTCCCATCATTGAACCAGCCTTGATATTCCAATCGACAACAATATGTCCCTACATCGTCTTCTGTTATGTTAACAATGGTCAGAGATACATCTCCTTGACTGACATTTCCCATTAGATGGTATCTTTGGAGTTGCCCATCTATCTTCAGATTTTTATTAATGCTAATTATTTTATCGGGACAACTACCCAGTATAGGGCAACTTCGTCCCCAACAAGTATCTGTGAATTCATTGTTCTTAACTGAATAATGACAGGGTAGAGTGACGTTTTCACCCACTTTTCCTTGTATGACAGTTTCAGCATATGATGTGAAGCAACCTGTAGAAGAAATGTTACAATTGTTTTTTTAAAACCAAACAAACAAGATTGGATTGGGACAAATTAGGCCATACCTTCTAGAATTTTCTTCTAAGCAGTTTTCTTTTGAACACGGGTGTCAAACTCAAGGGCCACAGGATGGATCCAGCCTTCAGGGTGCTTAGATCTGGCCCATGGGGCCGGCCTGGAAATAACAAAGGATCGGCCCGTGGTGCCTCTGCTAGCAAAAATGGGGCACGGGAGCCCCCCACAATGGTTTTGGCCACCAGAGTACTCCAAGAGGCCATCCAGGCCCAAAATAGGACCTCTAAAGTGCTCCAAGAGGCCTTCCAGGCCCAAAACAGGGCCTCCGGAGTGCTGCAGGAGGCCGTCCAGGCCCAAAACAGAGTGCTGCAGGAGGCTGTTCTTGACTCTGAAGGTTATAAAAGGGTGGAAAGGTAAAATATTTTACCTTTCAGGCTTGCAGGATTCTGCTTCTATAGCCCATGTCAATAATATATAGTCTTCCTATAGATAGTCTTCCAATATATAGTCTTCCTATGGAGTCAATTTCTTGATCTGATCTCTCTCTCATAAGGTGATCAAGTAGATCAAGTAAATATTAAAAAAACAAAATCACAGAAATGCATGCCTCTCTATTTTTATAAGTGTATAAAACCATGTGGGTTTTTATACCCCGGCCATGCCCACCCACCCCTGGCTCTCGGAGATCAAGCACAACCCTGATGTGGCCCTCAATGAAATTGAGTTTGACACCCCTGCCTTAGAAGAATGAAATTATCATCTGAAATATCCTCCCAAACAGATACTGTGACATCACTGCCTCAGTTTGCTGAGTAATATAAAGAAAATAAAAGCAGGGTGCAAATGCTGATTAAAACAGATAACCCACGCACACCCTGTGGTTGCCTGCCAGGAACTCTATTCCTTCCCTCCAGATTAAAATTTTATGTTTAAGTAACCTTTTTTAAAATGTTCATAAAATGACAAAATTCAGTAGCATGTACTCACTGTGGAAGTTTATATAATAGTTGGTTACTGTGGAAGTTTATGTAATAGTTAGTTACTACTACTATTTATAACATGTTATAACCTTTCTGACAGAGGGTCTATACTACAGCATTTTCACACATTGTCTTCTCAGTCTAGCAAACAACCATTTTCTTAGTGGATTACGTGTTATCTTACCACAAATGAAAGAACACTTAATTACACAGTTGCTGTGACAGGAAGGCCTTTGGTTCAGAGCTAAGAGTCACCCTACATGGGAAATGGGCAATAAAATAAATAAATAATATTCTGCATTAAAAAAATTTAAAGCATGTTTTTGTTTTTGAGAGTTTGTTTCACATATCTTTGCACCATATTTGTCACTATATACAATGGATAGAAGGCCATTTTTTCGTATTTTATTCTTATTTTATAAAATTGGGAAAATATAATTAAGTCACTTATTTGCCCAATGGAGATAATGCTCAATTGAGAAACCTCAGAAGTTCTTAGCACACAGTTGTCACTGCTGTCTGTTTTAAGCCAGATAATCATGAAAATTGGAATTAATGTTAGATATATAGTCTCAACATGATTACAACTAATCATTTCCAGTTGCCATTAATGAAGATTATAGATCACCCACTGCCTATACTAAGTTGTCCTACACAAGGTAATCAAGGAGCCTCAAATTTGCAAATGTTATTTATAAAAGTGTATACATTTTATTTTGACTTTTGCTTCTTTTTGCACTCATATTAGAAAAAAGATTCAGATGTAATATTGGAAATTAATAGTATCAACTTCAATGGACACTCTAAATAAGACAGTGCTGGTATTGGATTAATATAAGCATGCATACTACCTTTATTTCCTACCATGTAAAAAAATAACGTATGAAGATGATGTCACTATATTAATTTTCAGTCATTCATCCATCCCATTTCTATCATGTTTGTTCAAATGTGAATTTGCATCCTAGTATTGGAATGGCAGCTTTAAAATACATGCAATAACTTGCCAAAGTTCTGACCAAAATCATACTAAAAATCCTCTAAGAGATTGAAGCAATACTGTTACAAAGATGTTATCTATGTAGCTTTAGGAAAATTTAGTTACCTGTTAATATCATGAGCAGGATCTGTTTCAGAAGCAAGCAAGAACACATGGTAAAGGACAAACCGCAGAAAAGATTTCCTTCTACCTATTTAATAGAAGGCTTGTTTCCCAAACAAGTTTCTGAACTTCTCTGACTTCTGACTGCTGCATGTCATCAGCCACACACACTTTATGTAGCTTTGACTAGAACTTCCTCTTCCTGTCCTAAATTTGGCTGTCTCTAGAATGAAGCCTTGCCTGAAACAGTTGCGTGGACATAACTGTGGCAGTGGTGGGATTCAAATTTTTTACTACCGGTTTGCGGGTGTGGCTTGGTGGGCATGGCATTCCCACCCCACTCCAGGGGAAAGATACTGTAAAATCTCCATTCCCAGTCCACTTCAGGGGAAGGATACTGTAAAATCTCCATTCCCTCCACACCCCACTAACCTGCTTTCCAGCTCCATTCTCCTGTGCAGAGCAACAAAAGAAAACCCATCCAGGACCCGGGAGGCAGAGAATAGATGGGGGCACAGCCAGTCAGAGGTGGTGTTTGCTGGCTCTCCAAACTATTCAAAATTTTCGCTACCGGTTCTCCAGAACTGGACAGAACCTGCTGAATACCACCTCTGGACTGTGGTTATGTTCAAATTGGATGGGATGGGATGGGATGGGACAGGACGGGACAGAACCGGACGGAATGGAATGGAACGGAACAGAACAGAACACACCAATTCAAAGAACTGGATTTCTGCTGGGCTTGCTTTAGCTTTGAAATGGTTTTTTAGTTCTTCTATTATTCCAAAATGTTGTTTTCCCTTTTTTCATTACAATCATAATAATTCCAAATTGGGGTTAAAAAAAAAATTACAACTGTAAAATACCTCCTTAATTCAGAGTCAGTGTAAGGTACAGCTGCATAAATTCAAACTACTTACTTAATTAAAACAATTAATTAAATATTTTGTCCAATGACATGAAAGGCTTACAAAGTACATGACCCCAAACTGAACAGAAAGATAATTTCACAGTTGGGGCTCCTGTATCAAAAATGTCTTATTTTTAGATGCTGCATAGCAAATTCTTGGCAAATGTGGTGCAAATGTGGTGCTGGCATTCCTACCAGAGCTCAATTTTTTCCCCATAAAAGTCTCCACTGATAACAAGAGTTCTACAAACAGCCACAGTGTGTGTCTGCTTCTTGGAAGTGAGTACAAGTCCTTCCATGGCAAGTACATTTCTCAATTCCTGGACTAGGGAAATCTCTATCCATAGTCATCGCCGTCCCCATCCCCACAGCACCACCTCGAGCAGTATCTTTCTTTCTAAGAATGCTTCTGAACTGTAGACAGGCTCCATTGCTATGTTAGAAAATAGAAAATGGGGGGGGGGAGCAGGCGCAATCACATGAGCGATGTATCAAAAAGAAACAAAGCTTCAATCGCATAATCATGGGTGGGTCTTCACTTTGTTGGGAAGTAGGACCATCTATCCAAAAGCTGGATTGTCAAAGGAAGTCCTAGAGGATTATATTCGATGGTAGAGAGCAACTTCAGCCCTTTGTTTTCTAACAACATATTTTGTTCTATCACTTGCATACCAACTTTAACTTTATTCAACTAAACCTGAGGGTAACAAGAAGGTAGTAGGGTTCCATTCCATGTTGAATGAGAGGCAAAAGGTTCCCGATACCTGTGTGAAACCCTGACCACTCCTGACCTGTCAGTGAACCAACAGACAACAATGCCAAAGACTGCTTAAGTCTTTCCCCCTATATTGATACATAGGCAGAAATTGACTTAAGGATATTTCTCATAAAGAAATTGACAAAAACAGCAACTCAACCATAATCAAAGAAAAATTGCTGAAGACATGGAAATGCTTTACTCACACAATGTGATTCTTCTAATACCAGACCCATCACATAAAAACTAACACCTGAACACATAAAGGAGCAAAGATTATCACGCCTACAGGGTGAGAAAGCTGCATTTTCTCCATTAGACTCTACGTAGTATGTACCCCCCCCCCCCCCGAGTCAAACATGGTTGTGTGCTTCCTGAACAAAGAACAGGCTTTCCTATAAATATCACTATACCCATCTTTTTAATTCATGGCTACATTGCCTGTTTTACTGTCAAATAAACTCTTATCTCCACTCCAAGCAGTTGCCTTGTCTTTTTTTTTGAACCTGGTCTGGTTCAATTTTCTTCTATTATCTGGACCAGGGGTTAAAGTCAAGGTCCGTGGGGCCGGGCCGGAAATATCAAAGGACTGGCCCATGGTCCTCTGCCAGCCAAAATGAGCCATGCAGAGGCCCCATACGCCCCCCATGCAGCCAGTTTTCAGGCTCCCCAGCCTCCAGCAGCATTCTGCCGGCCCAAACCAGGCTGTGTGGAGGCCTTGTGGGACCTCCATGCAGCCCATTTTTGGCTGGCAGTGTGCTGCTGGAGACCGGGGAGGCCAAAAATGGGCCATGAGGGGGCCTTGTGGGGCCTCCGTGGGGCCTGTTTTTGGCTGGCAGTGTGCTGCTGGAGACCGGGGAGGCCAAAAATGGGCCATGAGGGGCCTTGTGGGACCTCCATGCAGCCCATTTTTGGCTGGCAGTGTGCTGCTGGAGACCAGGGAGGCCAAAAATGGGCCATGAGGGGCCTTGTGGGGCCTGTTTTTGGCTGGCAGAGTGTTGCAGGAGACGTCTGTTCCATCTCCACCACCCCCTGCTTCTCCGTCACTAGCCCAGGGAGAACTACAATGCTGATCTGGCCCTTGAAGAAATCCAGTTTGACACCCTGATCTGCACCATAGAAAGGATGGAAGCGGGGTGGGGTGTAAAGAAAGTTAATAAAAACAAAAGCATGTTTTAAATCTGGAAAAGTATTAGGAAGAAGGTCAGACTGGTTTTACCCTAATTCACTGGGATATAAGACGAAAGGAACGGAAAACTCAGTCAGGCAATATTTGTATCATTCTGCAAAAAGACAAAAAAATCAGCAAAGAAAATGGATTCTTTTTTTTTTCATTTTCTTTTCTTTTTTTGATTCTTATGGCATGGATTCTGTTCTGGATACTCAACTTTATTCCTACTAAAGTATGATTCAATAAAGCATCATGTCTTTCCAGCTAAGTGTGAGTTTTATACTTCACACCAGCCTCTGAAGCATTCTTAAAAATAAAGCAATGGGGTAAAATGATGTGGTTAAAATCCTGTACTGTGTTGGGAAAAGTGCCCATCTCCTCAGGAAAAAATGCCAAGATCATAGATTGGGGAAGAGAGAAAACAATCTCACTAGATTGGTTTCTGGTAAAAGGATATTTTATGAATGGAAAACACAGACCAATATTGTGTTATATTACTACAGAATACAGGTGTTTATTCCACTGATATATGACTAAAATTATCAAAACCATCAGAAATACTTTTTGAGGCCATTTAGGCATCTGTATTAAGTAAATAATAAGCTTTAACAAACTCATGTAGTTCCATGATTAGTCTAAAATTTAATCAATCCAAAATTAATTCAATAGTTTTGGTCTGAGGGATTCAATATGTTGGCTGGATTTTTTTTCAAGCTACCTAAAGATTTTAGAATTTTGCTCAAGTGTGCACTTAACTTTCTCAGCAAACCTATGCAAAATTTAAGCTGACAGTTTGCAGAACCTTATAAAAGATTAAGAGAATGGGAAAATGACATTAAGAGAACTCCAATTAAAAAACTCATTCCCTTCTGATTGTATATTTTATGTACTCTCTATTACCATGACACAACTTTTGATGAGTGGGCCAATCTTTGAGCCAATACATTTTAGACAGAAACTTTTTAATAGGTAAGCAAATGAAACCTTTACAAGACAGATCATAAATGCAGTTTGTAATTACTGTTTAGATGTCACAGAAGTGAAATTAATCTGAAATAGACTGGATTAGAGCAAAGGCCAAATTCTCACAAATCTTCCAAAGTGTAATGTAGTCCAATTACAAGAATAAATTAATATTTCTCAATAGAAAAATAAAAGTGCAGCAGAAGCAACCATGAAAACAGGTTTGATGTCATTATGGCAGAAACCAGGGTGAATTTGGATATATAAACATAATTAAAGAAGCACTCCTACTGTGAAAAAAGCTTCATTTTAAATCAATAAGAATTAGCTAAGTATTTAATGGGTACACTGAAGCCAGCAGTTTCATTGTAAGGCTTTCTTTTTAAGGAGTAGGGGACAATTTTCCAAATTAAAGCCATTATCCCCATGGTTCAAAGAGGTACTAATTGCCTAATCAATTCCCTTTAGCTAGATTCCACATGCCATGCTGGGTCAAGAATCCATGTGGTCAGCCAGACTTTTTCCAAAACCTTGTGCCCATCATTAGACTGTAGCAGCTGGAACCAGTCCCACACATACACACTCATGGTTTTCTGAATGCCATTCCTTAATTTTTACAGCATGAACATCAAGCTTTAAGAAAACTCCTGTGAATTTGCTTTCAGGTCTTAGATCATTGTCACAACAGACATCTGAAGATTCCATCTCCATCAGTGTGCCTGATTGTAACAGTCCTCTAATCACCCAGAAAACTCTCTACTGGATAGTCACTAGAGAAACAATAATAGCAGCAAAGTAATTTAGTTTGCAGTTCTCAATATCAAGTTGAAGGCACAATTTTGGGCTTTCATCTATTCTCAGCACTATTCAGTTTCTTTATTTTATTTCTTTATTTCACTCTGAGACTCAAGCCATTTGCCTTCAAACTATTTATTCCTTATTGGCAATTCCAATGAGTCCTCTTGATGTTGAATGAGTCCTCTTGATGTTGCAGGATGCTTTCCATCTTATTGTTCTTGAGCATTTCCATGTGCATTTGGAATTTGTGCAGCTAATATGGAAAGGCATAACAGTAGCCATTCTGATGTGCCTGGATTACATAGGGCCAGTGCTGGTGGAATCTGCTACGCTAATGGGATCAGAAGAGTTCAATATCCAGGCTCTTGAGGTGGAATCCTGGCTATGGGATGGAAATACATTCCATGAGAGTAACTCTAGATCCTTTTAGAGTCCCTCAGTAGTGTTCAATATCATTAATTGTGGTATCCTTTTAAGTTGTCTATAATGGTTGGGAATATTTATTTTGCAGCTAT